TATTACTTATGAAATTAAGAATTATGGAGCTGGCTTGGGACGCCAGAGGGCCCCGGTTCAGATCCCGCATATGAGGGCCAGTGACACTGCCCTCTACAGCTGGGATGCTGAGCAACAGCTCAATCTGGAGCTGGGCTGCCGTGGGTCGCTGGCTACGGCATAGGCTGCAGCCCCTGTGGCAGTGGGTTGCCATGGGCTACCGTATGTAGCCAGCAGCCAGCATGAGTGGCCAGCAGCTGCAGTGAGCGGCCGTCCAGAAGCCGGCGACTGATCTGCCTTGCTCGGGAAGAGAGCAATGATGGTGCCAACTTGGGCCAGTGAAGCAACGTCCTCCACAACTAGACTGAAGAACAAAAACAACAGCAACTTGTCTGTTCCCCTTCCCCTAATTCCCAGCGCTGTTCCCATCCCCCCAATTCCCCAATAAAAAATCTTAAAAAAAAAAAAGAGCAATAAGCCAATCAAGTTTTGGCATTTCAGTTCTCCTCTTAACCTTGCATCTTCTAGTCCCTTGGGCAATGTTTTTTGAATGCTAATGAAGAGGAGACAAATTCTAACTACACTTGAACTATTTTAACTGTGATACTAAAGAATGCACTTAAGTTTTCTGTGATACAATCCAGCTCCTTTTGGAGGTAATTAAATTTTAAAAAAACGGTCTGGTTAAAAATGCAAAAGCTCCATGTTGGGTGATAAAATTACATCTATGTTGGCATCCACACTATATGCTCCTTTAAGCGGTCTAGCTACATAAGCAAATGCATAAGGATGCCTTCAATTTTTCACTACTGACTTATAGGGCAGGAAGTGGTGTCTCTCATTCAAAATTCTCCCCTAGTATAGATTGATATTCAGAAATCTCCCATTGTTCATTAGTCTGTGATTAATATTTACGAGTTTCTCATCTTTCATGCCTGCTCAGTATAGTAAAATCCTGCATAGTACTAAGTTTACCATAATTTGTCTAATATTTGTCAGAATGTGTATTAGAAGTTGCAGGGTGTGAGAAGTGACAGGATTAAAACTTGCCCTTGAAATCACTTCTTTTACTAGGCGATCAATGCAACTAGGAAAGGGTGACCTCTCAGCATGTCACTGTGTGGATTTGTTGTTACATTTGGTGAGGAGAGTGTGAGCAATTTTTTTCTTTCCCAAATTATTTTATTTTTTTCTGAATGTTTAGTCAATCTAGCTTATTAAAAAATTTGTAAAAAAGGCTCAAGTTTAATTACCGCTTTCATGCTTCCAGGTGAGGTCCTGAAATGATTCATACATAGAGACCTTGTTTTGGATGAAGTAAGTGTTTTCAATCAAGGCTGTGTTAGTTTCAGGATTCAGTTTTTCAATACAGTAGACATATGACCTTGTATAAAATCCTTGACTTCCAAGAGTTTCAATTTCCTCATCAGCAGGAAGAGGATAAAAGTACAGCCTTGCTTTGAAGACGAGCATAAACGTTTGTTTATTACCAGCCAAACAGTGGATTCTCAATAAATAGATCTTGTCAGTGTTTTATATACCTTAACTAGCATAATTTTCCCATTATGAATCAAGTAAATTATTCCCCGTGGCACAATAGATTATTATAATCCGTGGATTGGAAAAAAAAACAATTATAAATTTTTCTGTATAGCTAGTATTCTCACAATGTTAAAAATAAACATATAATATTACTCAAATGTGGCTCAATTTTTTTCATTTGTGAGTGCAACAGAGATCACATTGACAATAGAAATTCGTCTTTTATTTTTTTTAATTTATTTTATTTTTTTAAAGATTTTATTAAGGAATTGGGGAAGGGGAACACTGTTGGGGAATTGGGGGAGGGGAACAGCTACATTGTTGTCCTTCAATCTTAGTTATGGAGGGCGCAGTTAGCTCAGCTCCAAGTCCAGTTACCTTGCGCTGGCAGCCGCTCAGCTCAAGGTGCTGTGTTCAATCTTAGTTGCATGTTGGCATAGCCCACCATCCCATGAGGGAGTCAAACCAGAAACCTAGTTGCTAAGAGTGCACGTTCTAACCACTGGGCAATCCGGCCACCTGACAGCAGCTCAGGGCAGCTCAGCTCAAGATGCTGTGTTCAATCTTAGTTGCAGTTGCGGGTGGGCATAGTCCACCATCTCATGAGGGAGTCAAACCGGCAACCTTGTTGTTAGGAGACTGTGCT